AAGTCCCCCGCTCTCATCTCAACTCTGTTGGCCCTCTTTTGAACACTACACACCTCTCCTATTTGTCAGATATTGCAGCATCTAAACTAAATATAACATCATTACATATCATTCAGTGATTTCTAATTTTAAACAGACTCAGTGAATAAGAAGGTTTCATGTTTAATGTTTTAGAGCAGGGGTCTCAAACTCCCTGCTCCCAGATATTTTACAGAAATACATTTTTGTTACATAAAAATACTGTATGATATTATATTGAAAACAGCTAGTACTAGGGCTGGGTATTATTAAAATCGAACAATTCAACGCAATTTCGATACAATTAGATTCCATATTGATCTAAATCAAAGATCACCGGCCTTTTTTAAACTAAGTGCCGTGTCAACCGTACTGAGAGAAGAGCTGCTTCATGTGGACTCCTCTTGGACTCCTCACCAGCTCTACCACCATCGTCCTGCTCACATCTCCTCCGCAGCCGCCCCTGTAGCCCCTCCAGTCTAGCCGACTCATCTCCTTCATCTCACCTCTTCATCACCTAACCCTTTCTTGGATTGTAATATTCCAAATATACAACAAACTCCTTGTTAATATTATTTCTTATCATTTTGGTTTCTGTATTTTGGGTTCTTTCGTTTTTCTCTCTTAGAGAAATGTAACACGTTGTCAGTTCTGTTCACATCAGGTGTTTTATTCCATTTATTTTCCAGCCTTTCCAGTTGTTCTAACTTTAACTGTTATTCCACTCATCTATTAAATTCTTTCTTGTGCACCTTTCCAAGTGATTTTTTTTTTACTAAAGACAGTCACACCTGTTACACCTCCACTCAGTTATGTTTGTTTTTTTTTTTTTTTTGGTTCCATATGAAGCGTTCTCTTCTAGCTCCACTCTGCTCTGGTATTTCTGTCTATCCCCTGTGGAGCCATTCTGAGAAGGAGCCCTAATATGTGCAGACATCTATAGCCACCTCGCAATTTGTTGCACACTCCATTCATTTCATGCACTGCCAGAAGTGCTTTGTAATTATCCTGATACTGATGAAGGCTGAGTCCAGGTAATCACAGACAGTTTAGTTGTTTTTCAACATCTTAGCAAAATGTCTCTATCCATAAAAGTGGCAAATTAATTTCCCCTTAATGACCATTCATATGTGTGTTTGTTTGGAAAGAGGATACATAGTCATAAACCGGCACTGTGTGTTAGTCAGACTAGGATTACAGATTAAGCCAATGCTCGTTAGTTTCTGTGGAAATAGGGTTGTAATAAGATGAATAAATGAGTGACTTCTAAAGTCTGGGTCGGTGAACATTTTGGGGCAGCCATGTTGTACCAAGATCAGTTTATTCTCTACACACGAGGATATTAAGGAATCGGCTTAAACCTGCATGGAAATGATCTCCAGTAAACCATTCTTGGAGAGAGAAGAAAAGGAGCAGACTTGGCACAGTGCCCTTAGTAATACTATCCTTCATTTCTTTCTCGTCCACTGTTTCAGCCATACAATTAGAAGATTGTTGCCGAGTCTGGGATTCAAGAAAAGAATACGAGTTAATGTCCCCTATTGTGCCATTTGTTCTTCAGCTAAGTCCAAGATAACACTGGACATCTCACCCTTGTCCTCTTGAAATACAGGAGTTGGGAATCAACCTAAAGAAGGCTCTGGAAGTAATGTCTTTTGTCTAATGTCGTCTAATGTCTTAGAATAGACAAAAGACAAAGACAGGGGCCTGTTATACAGCAAAACCCACTTCTGAAAAATATTTTTGAGCTGTGACAGCTTCTTCTTCTGTCTACTGTTTCCGTCACGGGACGCCACAGCAGATCGTTTGCTTCCATCCCACTCTTGTCTCCTATCCTGTTACTCCAACCAGCTCAATGTCCTCCTTCACTACACACATTCTTCTTCTTCGTCTCCAACTTGATTAACCATAGCTGTTCCTCTGACCATTTCAGCATCTTCACTTCAGTCACTCAGTCTTCTGACCATTAGACAGAGCCACTGTCTCTGAACCATTTTTTGTACCAAAGGACTGGTCGACCGTTATCACCTGTTACTGTGGACCGGTAATACCACACCATTGTTGAAGGATCATTACATTTTTGAAAAAAAACTTTTTGACTTTATTCTGTTAGCAATAGAGACATCCCACACATCCCTGACAGTGAACTGATGCTGCATGTGATTTTCCCCAGCCTTACCTGTTGTGTTCTATCTGTGAGAAAGTTGGTAATCCACTGACAGGTAGATGGCAGGGCAGTAGGCTGGGAAAGCTTGGTGTGTAGAATGTCTGGTATGATTGTGTTGAACACAGAGCTGAAGGCAACAAACAGGATTACATTTACCTACTTACTGGATACAAGGAGCAGTCAGAAACAATCAGGAACACACTGGTCTGGTGTCCTTTCCAGGTAGACTATGGTGTCTGAATTGATGCTGCACGTCTTGAAATCAACTCTTTTATATACAAGCAAGTCAGTGTCAGTGGAGATTCCTCCAGGCTTCATCATCTTCACATCAGCACCATTTATTAATTAAAATGAATAAATGCTAACTGCAGCCAGAATCACTCACTGTGGAACCAAATATTTTTTAGCCTCGGTTTGGAAATCCAGCTTCCACCTATTTGAACTGGACAGCAATTTTCCTTCAATGGTTGCTGACTTCATTGAGGTCTTTTGAGACTATTGAACATCCACCACTACCCTCTACAGTCTTGTCAGCATACCATATAAGTGTGTATGGGTTCCCTACAGCATGTTACGTCACTGTTTTCAATCTAGATCACAGTAACAATGCTCCTTTTAAATATATGGTCAAGCTGCTAATGGTGTGACTCTTGATCACAAAAAGTGATTTGTGACTGAGATTAATTGTTCTGTTTGACCAAAAGCTATGTTTTGCAGGATTTATAACCAAAGTAAACTCGACTGGTTCATACCACAGGACCATATCTGTTTGGAACACACAGTGGTTGAGGATGATTAATATCACACTCCTCACCCCCCACTGTGAATTGGGGACCAAGGGTTGAAACTATTTTTCTTGGTGAGCAGAGAAATGCTTGTGGCTAAAAAACAGGACAAACACTGTTTATCATCTGCCTGATGACAAGCATCCTTTGGGCAAATTAACCACAGGGCCATATCGACTGGCATTGCATGGGAGTCAGTGCCCCTTCACTTTGATTAATCTCCCAGTGTTCCCGTTTCAACTCTATCAAAGTAATCTAAGCGAAGACACACCAACAGTGACAGAGAAAAATAACACTGTGGACTTACCCCCGGTTATAAGGTAAATATACTTACGCATAAAATATACAGGGAAAAAATGTAAATTGTTATACTGCACCTATCTAAGACCGATGTGTGTGAAACTGTGATCACTTGCTTTAGGTTTTGAACTAAACCGTCTGACCTCGAAAGTTCTTTTTTGTGGTATTGGATTTTTTTTTTGTAAGTAGCTGCAGAGAATAATAACTCAAAAGAAAAACCTGTTTACATTTGATCTGGTGTTAAGGTGATGTGGCAGCTTGGACTGAAAAAAATCCATACAAACAATATGTCTGTGAAGGCCCTGACATACTATATCCATCAATCTGTTTCATAAGTTTGAACATTTGTTAGATGAGTACAAAGAGTTGAGTGTTACTCCAGATAAAATACTTAAAATGAGCACATACACTTCTTGATTTTCTAATTCATTCTTTACACAAAATCATACATTTAAATTGTTTATTTTAATTTAGATGATGAATAAATTGTATTATTATATATATTATATATATAATTTGTATTAGCTAAATTATAGCTAATACAAAATCAAAATTAATCTTTTGAGAAATTCCAAGTATTAATTAAGTATTAATTCCAAGTATGGCTGTGTGTTACTGGAAGCCCACACCTCTCTGGCAGTGGCATTCAAAGTACCACATAGTTTTTCAGTGTGGTTTAGGTGAACCATGTTATTAAGCAGGGGTCGACCACAGTCCTCAAATCAGGTATAAAGAACCTCCTAGAATAATGCCGTGCTGATTTTGTACCAGATAAAACACAGTAGAACAACACGAGCAGATGGCATGACTGCCCAAACCACCACTGACTGTAAAAACTTTACCCAGGACCTCAAGCAACTTCAGTGCCTCCCCTTTTTTCCTCCAGAGTCTGGGACCTTTATTTCCTCATCCAGTCCTGAATAGAGAACTATGGAGCACTCAGCAACAGTCCAGTCATTGAACAAGAGCCTCTGATGTGTCTTGTTTGAGAGTGGCTCTTGAAGCACCAACTCCAGCTGCAATCCAATCCTTGTAATTCTTCTCCAAATGATGAACGGGTGCACCTGTTACTACAACATTTTTTTTCCTTTCATTCAACTTCCTGTTAATGTGCTGTGGATAAATTACACTGTGAACAGCTAGCTTCTTTGGCAATTACCTTTGTCTTACCCTCTGGGAAGGCAATGTACAGTAGGACCACATTGTGAGGTGGCTGAGAGTTGGTGTCTTATGTAGAGAGGGAGAAGTTTAATTTACTGATATATTTTGATAATAATCTTTTAGCAACGGCAAATTTCATTTAATCGAAAGCCTACCAAAGCAATTAAGTGTTCTTTAGTGCAAACTGTTATTCTCATAATTAGTAAACCTTCCCACAAAAGGTACTGTTACAAGTTCTAGCAACATCTTCCAAAAAAATGTGCTTGGTACTAAATTAAATTGGATCCATGTGCACCCAAATTTCTGAAAATGAAAAGCTTGTACTCTATTACTTGTCTGCCTATTAAAACAAAACTTTAGCATTTTCTGAGATTAGTAGTCACATTAGCAAAGTAAATTACATCAACTGAACAAAATGAAAGAAATCTACACTAAATATCAATATATTTAAAGAATTCATCAAAATAATACACGTTTTATTTATTGAACAGACAATAATAATCATATTGCTAATATTGTATGTACACTGTCTTTTTTTTATCTCTTTTCCATACACACAAACACAAACACTTGTCGCCAGGATTTGACGTTTTCAGCTTTCCGGTGACGTCACAGTCGTGGGCCAAGATGGCGGCGTACTGTGGCCGTACTTTAGGAGCGTTTCAAAGAAAATATGCCTGCTCTATTTTTTCCATGGCGACGGCGCAGCTCTGCCCGCAGGTAAATCGTAACATCTTATAAATAAAAACAATGTATAAAAAAGGTTAAACGTAAAGCGTGTGACAACGAACTTAAACACCGTTAAAACATTTGCCCCTCGATTTAGCGTCTTCATGCGGGCTTGCAGGTTTGCTTCTGTGTGCATCTACAGTAACTGTTGTACACAGCACCAACAGTAACTCTTCGCTCAACGAATATTTAGACACAATGACGAACTACCGCAACACATCGGTTAAATCTGTAATTATTTCATAAACACCATTTAATTTGATGTAGTGATTTATTTCGCCCAAACATATTCATACGCTCTGGTAATAATGCTATCTGTCCATGAAATGTGACAACAAACTGCACAAAGTATTATTCATTTACAGGGCCGGAAACAATGTCAATTTGTCAGTAAGATTTTTACAAAGACCCTTCATCTGCAGCTGGTGTTATCTTGGCAGAAACAACTTCTGTTTATCTGTCCTTTGGTTAAATTTCTAAAAAAGAAAAACCACCATCACTACCAAGGTGCTATCTGATTGGCACTCTTTGCTGTCAGCTGAGAATCTGGACTTGAGGTTCAAAAATTCAAATTAAACCAGGAGATAACACAATCACTAAACAAAACCTTTAAAACCACTTTAGTGGTTAAAGTGTGATGGTGTGTTTTAGTAAATGTAGATCATTGGAAGGGGTAGATGTTTAAAGTATGTAATTTTGAAGCACTGCATTATGCATCTCAACCATTAAGATGTTTCTGGGAGGAGATGACTCTTGCAGCACTCACATCAACAACTGTAGTATTCAATAAAAATGGAGCGTATGTGTGTATGCTGAAATGTCAGGAAACTGGAAGAAAAGAAAAAAAATCAATGCAGGTTGAATTATCCTATCATTCCAGTACTTCCAGTATCTGAAATATATTTTATTGCTATGCACACATATTAACTTGCTGATGTTTGCTAAATGGTAATGTTAATGCCCAGGTGGTGGCCAATATCCTCTGTGCATTTTTTTACTTCATAAAATAATGTTTAAGTTAAATTGTCCAAGAATTTTATTGATATCATTATTCGCATATGTCTTCGTACATGTAAACCTCATGATGTTGTCTTTGCTCTCCCCCACATCCAGGGCAGACAGATATGTGTGAGCTCTGCACTACACAGAAAGAACGAGACAAACTCCGAACCACGGAAGTTCTCTGCAGAGTTTATAGAGAAGCAGGTGGGGGAGTTCGATATTGGGAAGCGACACCTTGCCAACATGATGGGAGAAGACCCTGAAAACTTCACCCAGGAGGACATAGATGTAAGATGGATGATTTCAGTCTGTGATTAAGATACTGTAGGTCGGGTTACTTTGTTTATCTTCTCATTTTCTTAGTTGCATCTTTACAGCAGTTCATCTGCTTCCATCTTATCTCCTCTACTGTTACACATAACATGACCGTGTCCTCCAATACTACATTCATGGATATTCTCTGTGGTCTCTCTCTCTCTCTCTTGCTTGCCTGGCACCAACTTTTTAGAAAGTGTGACTCCTAAAATCTCTAAATTAGCTTGTCTTTAAAGAACTAAGGAGTTTGTTTGTTTGTTGGTTTTAAATTGGCTTGGCAAAAACACCAATAACATTTGTATCAGTACCATTTGACCACCCTGAAGCTGCAGACATCACCCTCTGTTCAGCAACCGCTTCCTCAATTACCCAACTAAAAGATAGCTAAATTGAATAATGGAGGATGAAAAGGAAGAGTGAAGCTTTGGTGGACTACAGGGAGAAGAACGGCAACAGATTGCCATTACGCACATTTGCAGAGCCACCTGTTCCTATATAACAATACAGAAACAGTGCACAGGATACATTTACTCCTTGGACATTCAGCCGGTCATCAAATTGCTGTCAACAATCCTGAAAATCTGTTGTCTTTGTATGCTAGATTTCTTTTCTAATTTTCACACTTTAGGTCCTGTCTTCTTGATCCTTCAGCACCTCTTGCTGAAGGATCACTTTCTTGACCTCTTACTCTCATGTCTTGTGTGACCTCTGTTGATTGCAAATATCTGCAATGTCTGCTCCTCCATCAACATATTTCACCCAAACTGACATTAACATCTCTGGTGTTTATTCATGTATTTAATTTTTCCCAAACAGAGATGCATCGCTTACCTGTTTCCATCTGGCCTGTTTGAGAAGAAAGCTAAACCCATCATGAAGGTATGTGTGTGTAATTTGGGCTTTTTTACCTTTAAAGTATTATGAAATATTATGAATATGTGGCAGATTATTGGTACTACAATATATCGCAATACGATATATGCGGTAAACAGATTTTCTCACAAAAACCTGCTGCAAATTTTCAAGCCTCCACATGATGGCATCAGAGACCACTCCGTGATGGAGGGAGTGAACACAAATAAAAACAAACCAGGCTAAGCTAGCCAGCATTTGACATTTGGCTTTATGTGCTGGGGCCCTATTTGTACTGTGGTTCTACAGTTGTGTTGCTTGAAAACTTTGCTGCAGACTTTAGACTGTCAGTTAGGGTGAAATTGATATTTTTGTAATTCATGTATAATGGATTCACTACAGTCAATACATTCTGGATATCTGCAGTGTCACAGATAATGTGATGTATCACTGATGACATTTATTGCAATATATCCAGTTATTATTAATATTATTACTATTATTGTTATATCGATTATCGCAGAGTACCTGTATTGTGATGTTATCGTTATTGTAGTACCTGTCAATACCCACCCCTAATTATGAGGAATTAAGCTTTCTAAAAAGGGTAATCTACAAATACGTTAAGACGTACATTGCCTCAACTTACCTCAGTTGATTTAATATGTCCTACTACCCCCAAAAAGTTTTTTTCAGTGTAGCATGCATATTGAATACTGTGTTTTTGTTCCAGCACCCAGATGAAATATTTCCAAAGCAGAGAGGTATGTAGCCTGTACACACTCCACTCCACAACCTGGTCAAAGATTCAGAAACTGAAAAACTATCATCACATCATCTGCTCTTCTTCTTCTTCTCTGTATTTAAAGCTGTCCAGTGGGGAGCAGATGGACGACCTTTTCACTTTCTTTTTTACACTGGAAAAGAGTCTTACTACTCACTGATGCATGTGAGTACTACTCCTTTTTCATCTGAGTAAAATCCTCATCTGGCTTGCTTCTCACACTTCATCATGCTGTTCTTTCCACCCAAGTGTTAAGTAAATAAATAAAGTTAAGGAGAGAAATGATGGCATGGCCAAAACTAGAAAGACAAATTAGAAGCAAGTGTTGAATATTAGTAGGTGAAAGATGAAAGGTTTTGGTTTTTAATATCCAACATTCACAGTAATGCATTTTGGTCTGACTGCTCCTCCTCTCGTACAGCTCGTTACACATTTGTATCCTGATGCTGACTTTTTCCATCATGTTCTGCTAAATTATGTACGCAGTTGGAAAAAACAGTATTTGTGGATGTCAAATAAGAGACCTTATCCAGAGTTGCTTGGTCCTCCTTTCTCACCATTTCTATTATGCTATTATTCCAGTTTGCCTTTTTTTGTACTCCCATTTTTACGCTCTTACACCTAATACCCCTTGTTCCTTGATGAAAGTGACATCATATTAGGCACGCTCTATCAAAAAGGTATTAAAAAACATCTGCTTAAAATTTGGCAGAAAATTGAGTTTTTACCCAGTTCTTACCCAGGGCAGAACAGGCAGCTGAGGTAAGGCTATCAGCCATGGGGACGTGACTGGCATACTTGATGTGTTCAGTGAGCTCAGACCTATGAGGCCTCAGAGAGGTTTGTTTACATGTTACAGCTTACATTTTAACTCAAAGGGAGGCGCATAATTTAATGTAGTAATTCTTTCTTAGAACGTTTTCTCAATTTTTTTCAATTATTAATTATTTCAATAATTATTATTTTTTATTTGCTTGAGAAATGCAACAAAAGAAGAAAAATGCACCAAGCTTTTTGTATTCCAGGTATTTAAACAGGAAACATAAAGAACCAAAAGTTTGTTCTCAATATCGTTGAATATTTTCCATTCTCTCTGGTCTGTTTGTCAGCATTTTCATTGTTTTTATATTATTTGAAAGATCTGAATTTTTTGGATTTTTTTTAAAGAATTTACCTTTTGTTTTATGGTAGTTTTAACGGTTATTTTTAGCTTTAAGCATTATCTGATCTAACAACAAAGGGTTAAACATTTTAAGGTACTGATTTTTAAGGGCTGTGTTAAAATTATTATTTTAAAAAACATTTTATTTCTGCTGTAGTGATCATATTGAAGTCAATCTTATTTTTACCAATGACATCAAATTGGCAACATATTTCCAGTTATCCATCATTTGGGGGTTTTTTTTCAATAGGAATTATATGGCAAAATCCTAAACTTGGAAAAGTACCAGGACCGTCTCAAAGCCAAAGGACTGTTTTCAAAAGATGCCAAACAGATGTAAGTAGAGTGCATGTGGCGAGAGGTAGTGATGGGTGAGAGCAGATTTTTTGATTTGATATGGTACTGATTACATTTTTGTTATCCTGATACTGATATCAATACTTTGTGTGAATCCTACACTAAATCAAACACATGACAGCTAATGACCATTTAATAGTTTAATATGTATTTTTCACAACATATTAGTCCAGTTTACATCTCATTATATTTACATAATGTAACCTCAATAGTATAATTGCTACTGGGGCGGTGCAGCTCAAAAGTCTGTACTGTATGAAGTAGATTACATTGAAAGATGTGGAAGTGACACATGCACTTTCTTCATTTATTATTTACTGTCAATAAAGGAGTAATCGATGCTCGAGGATCGATATATTTTTAGTAGAAAGCACAAAATAAATATTATTAGAATACTTTATGAGAGTTGTCGACGCTCATGTGAGTATTGATATATTGATATTGTGGAATTGATCACTAGTGAGTGCCTTGTTCTGTGAATTATGTCACCACAAAAGAAATCTTTTACGATGCCTTTTATTCTAAATATAAATAATCGATTTGCAGTTTGTGTACCTTCGTTTTTTGACTTTCATGAGAAACATAAATGTGTTTCTTCCAGCTCCTTAAGAGCAACCAGGTGGCTCACGAAGGAGGAAGTAGAGACGGTGCTGTTGGAGGGCATCTCAACTCAAGACGTAATGGCAGACAAACTATTCCTTCCTCCTCCTGTTACTCAATAATCTGTCTCTGATCGGCTGATGTTTTTCTACTCAGTACACTCGCTTCATTCAGCTGCTGGAGCAACTCATCTCCATGCCCTACCACTCTGTTGAGGAGAAGTTTATCTTGCAGTATCGCCAACAACTGGAAGCTCAATCAAGTAAACAAACAGTGCCACAGCTGGAGAAGGATGACAGAGGGGTGGATTTCAGCAGAGCAGAGGGTGAGTGTCAGCAGTGCACACATCCTCCTGACTTTGACATGACATTTGTTTCAGCTTTTTACTTCTTTATCTGAAGTTTTCCATGTGGTATAGACCAGTGTTTCCCAAACTTTTTTTCTGGGGACCCATATTTTAAAAGTCACAAAGCTTTGCAACCCAAGTCAATAGACATTATTCGTAAACTCCTGGGAACCATGATGGGAGAAGACCCCCCAAAAAATCTCTAGTGACCCACCTGAGGGTCACAACCCAGTCTTTGGGAAACAATGGTATAGATCACATGATGATCTGGAAGTTGTTGTTTGAAATACGTTATGTATGTTTTTTCCCTGTGTGTGAGAGGTGGTTTACTTCACCATCTCCCATAAGTATACTGAGAAAACCTTGATCCATTATTCCCATGTATGACCACAGGTACTTATGTACAGTATTTGAGTTCGAATTTATGAGGAAAATCAAGTTACGTCACAACGTAGGAACAGAACTGCCACTAAGTTGAAGGCTACTTGTATTTTGATTAGCACATAATAATAACAGGTTAATTATAAAAAAAAATTTATGAGTCCCTACTATGTAGATTTACTAGGGAAACTGTGTTATGGTACAGCAGTATAATGGTGAAGAATTTCTGATTAAAGGTAACCTCTCTTAATGTTTGAACTCATTTCAGAGCCTTCAGTGGTTTGGAACTAATAGTGTGTTTGTGTGTGTGTGTGTGTGTGTCTTCAAAAACAGGTCGCAGGAAGTCATCAGTGGCTTCTGTAATTCTTCGAGACTGTGGCTCAGGACACATCACAGTCAACGGTCACGACTACCTGCAGTACTTTTCTGTTCTGCAAGACAGGTAGGACAGTAGTGCACGTGTTGGCAGAAACCAACCGTTAACCGTTCCCACATTCTCAGCTCCTCTGCTGCCTCGTTTCTAAACTTATTTGCTTTTAAAATGCAACACACAGCGTTCCCCCACCTTACGGTCCCACCCTGTGCACCTCAAGAAAAAACTACCTTTTTCACTCTTCACAGCTTTGCCTCGTCTTTTCCCCTTTTCTTTTATCTTCCTGCACCGAGTTAATTACACAGTTGAGTGATTGTGTGTGCATGTATGTGTGTATGAGAATGTCCAGAGCCGGTGTTGTCACGCACTGTGAGGACAGGCTGTAATTAGAGCACAGGGGTGACAATTGACTTTGTCAGCAGCTGTGGGCCATTCGGCCTGAGACGCCGACCGGAACACAATGCGCCGTCCCCTTTTCTGTGCCTCACACCCAGCAAACAGTCTTGCATGTTCCCGCTGAGTCAGATGTTCCTCTCATATGTAGTAGTTGGATTGTAATGGAAAGTGTTTAACGGAGGATCTTCTGCGCTCATGGACAAAGTCAGACAAACAGAGGTCAAATTAGCCAGGCGTCTGGAGATGGTGCCACTGTCTGCTTAACAGCTCACACTGTAGCGCTGCCTATTCAAACAACATCATTATTTTACTGTAGCTTATTTTCTTTTCCCTCCTCTCACCTCCTTCAGAGAGCAGCTGATGTTTCCACTCCAGTTCACTGGCATGCTGGGACGCTTCGATCTGGAATGCACAGTGAGCGGTGGCGGTAGGTCCGGCCAGGCCGGAGCTCTGCGGCTTGCCATTTCTCGCTGTCTACTTAGCTTCCTGTCTGAGGGGGAGGTGGAGAATCTGAGACAAGGTAAATGATGCTTGACTGATTATAACTGTAACTCGCACCACATATAAGGCCTTTTCTCAAGTACAATAAGCTTAATATAACTTAGATTATTGTAAGATAAAATTGTTTTTTTCTACATAACATTGTTACATTACCATATTGTTTGATCAGTCTACTGTTGATCTCTAATTTAGTACAGAACAAACACACTAAAATGTGGCTTACACCTGATCAGTAATATATATCTGTAGTAGCCTTGGCATCTTTAAAACTGTTTCGTCCTTACTGTTTTCTAGCCGGTCTGCTGACTTCTGACCCCAGAGTGAAGGAGCGGAAGAAGCCAGGACAGGAAGGAGCAAGAAAAAAATTCACATGGAAAAAACGCTGAGGGGGCAAAACGAAGAATTTGAACCAGAAAAAATGAACATTCACACTTTTCTGTACAAATACAATGCCCCCTGCAGCCACAGTTCCCAAGTCGGAGCCCAGTTGCAGTTTCGTCCACTAGATGGCAACATCTGTCCAATAATTACAAAAATAACACTGTAGTCAAATTAAGTCGTTTTATAATAAAAATATTTATGTTGTACTTATGTTTCTTTGTTGTTATTTAATGATTAGCAATTTCCCTTTTTAAGAGATGTATGTATTTTTAAAGTAAAATTGCGTAGTAAAATCTACATTCGTTTAGGAAGCCTAGACTAGTGGATTTGCTGAACCTGGGTGACTTGGAAACATGTATTTAATTTTCATTCTTTTTTATTTTCGCACTCTGTTGCTGCACTATATCAGATTCAGGTGATGTCTCAGCTGCGTTTACGGCCTCAGCATAACGTTTTTATTATTAATAACGTTTACGTTTTCTGTCTGATGCCTTAAACGCAAACCAAATCCTAACAATAGGAAAGCACCTGTTCTAGTCCGTGTACCAGAAAGAATGTTACGTCAGTTCTATACGGAAATACGCGCAGAAAATAATCTGACAGGTTAAATGGAATAATTGCCATTGCTTTTCTGTGCAGTGAAACCAGCGTAGTTGATTTTGTTGGGTGGAGTCACAGTCACACCCGTGCTCTGATGCCGCGGAAGTCTTATTATCTGTACAGCATCTGACGTTTGTGACGTCAGCTTGGGTTCACGTTGGTGTCTTTTTGGTTCTACGTATTCACATTTTTCTCCCACATTGAAGCAGCGTTGCTGAGCCCCGCGATGACGACGGAGGCGGACTGCAACAGCAACTTTCTGGAAGTGAAAAGGCTGCAGGAGCTCATCCGAAAGTTGGAGCGACAGAACGAAGAGCTGCGCATCCAGACGACTGACTGTACAGGCGGCCAACGATCGCCGCGGTTCCACCTCTTAAGTCCTCAGACAGACTATTTCAAACTGCACATTGCCGGAGATAAAGCAGAAACGGGGGAGAAGGAGGGAGACGTCGGCGGATCGGTCCTGGATGAGGTCGAGCTTCTGGATTTGGGTTCTCTGGATGAAGATGAAGAAACGTGGTAACAGTTTCTTTTTGCAGAAGGTGCAACAATACAGTGTCAAGCACAGAGACAACTTCACGCGTGTGGCACATGAAGTGTAAAACTGGATGTGGAGGAGTTTGGATTTGTATTATTATTATTATTATTTTATATGTTCAATCAACTTTCTAAATTTATATATATATTTATATATGTATATATTTGCATGAATACAAATGGACAAGCTTGTTACAAGCAACAGATTACATTGTCATTAAATTTAGTACTGATGTGGTGACTTTAAAAAAGTACCTTCATGCAAGTCTTTCGCACTGATTTCTATTTTTTCAATAATTCAAATGTATATTTATAGATTGTTTTCAGAATGACCTTTTGATCTCTACCTTTCAGGTTGTATGAGTCGCCAAAGGCCAGACGGAGCTCAGAGAAGTCCCTCTCACCTCTGCAGTGGTGCCAACAGGTTCTGAATAACCTGAAGACAGATCTGGAGACCACCAGGCAGTCGCTGTCCTTCCAACTAAACCAAGGTACAGAAACATACGATTCAAAGGGAGTTGACTTGGAGCTGGAGCCTCACACCAGCCAAGAGCGTGCATGGAATCCACCATGACTAAGAGAGGTTTTGATGTTTGTTGAACTGCACTCAGGGCTCAAGGTTGAACTTTTGCTTGGACCAAAGAATTAAAGTTGTGACATACGGCAAGAGAAAACAGCTATTAGATATTTTAATGTCAACAAAAGTTCATTTTAAAATGTAGGCATTTTCATTTTTCATTCAGGAAGTGGTCCACATGAGTGCAGTGGGTTCCTCATCTTCACACTGCTCAGTCCAGTGTACTGTCTTTGTCAACTGTGCATCATATGTGTTTTCATTTTTAGGGGCACTATACACCAGGTGGATGTTATCATCTCCATCTAAAACAGAAGAGCTGCATGGTTTAAACTGCACCGTTGGTAAACGAAGGCTTGCTTTGGTGTTGAACACGTGCTTTGTCGGCTGAGAGCATTTGGTGACAGACACAGGGATGCCAACACAACAGCCTTTTGTTCACCAACACTGCAGGGTGTGTGTGTATCATCTGTGTGAGGCAACAGAATCCGTATGCTTGCATTTGTCGCAGGGCCAGAATTTTTGTGGGCAAATAACTTGGGGTCTGGACATTTTTTAAAAAAACACATTATTATTTGATGTTCATTTTGAAATTCAGTCATGGGCCAGATTTGGCCGTTCGAAGCGTTGGCTTGCGGCCACCAGTTGATTGCACCAATGGATGGAGTAAAACACCATACTCCATTTAATAATGTTCAGTGTAAATAATGATGGATAGCAGCATTTACTCACACTGTAGGTTTAATCGATAATGATTAATTATTTGACTTCTTACAAATATAAACTGTTGTTGTTGTTGTTATGCTAACGTTTCAGAGGTCACCTCCATTTTTTTCTTTACCCTGTTCTCAGGCTCCAGGTGGCGTAGCTCCATGACCAGTTCCTCTCCGTCCTTCTCTCCTGGCCCTCCCCTCAGGCAAAATGGTGGAGGTTCCACCGTGGTTGTTCCTTTATGTTCGACTTCTCAACCCTCTGAAAAGAACACAAACCCACCAGCCTGTAAGCCATGTTTTTTGTCAACAAACATTTGTCATTTCTTTTTTAAATCAATTGTATATTGTAATGATTTAATAGGCTATTTGTAAAAAAAAACATTTATATATTTTCTCCTGTCCATCTCCTAGACATGTCTATTGCACATACCAATCTTGCCCGTTGCATATTTACATGTGTCTCACATTGAGAATTGGCTTTGCAAGAGACCTTTTTTATTTGCATTCTCTGTATCTTTATTTCTCTGATTTATTCTTTTCCTCTCCAGTCCTTCCTGACATCCGTCGGACACAGAGTCCACTAGGAAAGAAGTTGTCTCCAATAGCTGAGAGGACTCCGACGTTCCTCCCTCATTCAGCCAGTAGACGTAAAAAAAAAAAAAACAGCTCAGGAGCTTAAGATATATATATATATATATATATATACTGTATATATATATATATATATGCATATATATACTGTATATGTATACATATTGTATATACTGTATATATATGAATATATGTATAAATAAATATAAGTATATCTACTTATGTGTATATATTTTCTTTTATTCTATTTTGTAAGACAGCAGGTAGATGTATGTTTCACATGTACATAGGTATATACCAAAAATATGTTTTACCTATGTACATGTTTTTCTTTAAGGTTTGTGTATTTTAGTCATTACTGTGCATCGTGACAGTGGCTTGTACAAAGAGAAATGATTTGATATAAAAGATGGGTGCTGAGGTCATGAATTGAGGATTCAAGTTTTATTTTTTCTCTCTCTTTGTTGTTCTCTCAGCCATCCACCTGAGTCACTTGTTCCTCACTCCTGCGTCACCCGTGGGCAGGGGCCTCGGTGTATCAGACGTGTTGGACACTCCCATCACTATGGGATTCAAACTACAGGACTTTACTGATGTCCAGGTCATGGCGCGCATGCAGGAGGAGAGTAAGTCATTTAGAGAGAAGCCATTGTAACAGCTGTGCAGTGTTCACCTTCTGCACTGTTTTTTTATTTAGACGTCCACAAGTGGGCGTTGTATTTCAGCATTACGTAAATGCCACATTCTTAACCAGCAGTTTTTGGTAAATTTTGAAAAATATTGTACATTCCATATACCGGTATATATATTTATATTTCTGTGGTTATTATCAGTCTTGACCTGTTGCCTACTGTGGCTAACTGTGCGTCTCTGTTGTCTTTCTTCTTAACTAACATCTTAACTCATGCCTTCAGATCTCAGAGCTCATCGCTACTTCAGCTTCATTAATCCCAACAGGTGATGACTGTGTCTCGTGTGTGAGTGTGCTTGTATTACCTGCTGGCTCTCACCTTTGACTCCTGCAGGCCTAAGACAGGACTACGTAGGCGGGACCTCCACGCTGGACCTCCTGCGCAGCCAGAGCTTCACCTCAGAGCTCAGCGTCAGCCCCGACCTGGGAGAGGGAAAGGAGGGCAACGACGAAGATTGTTCCCTTCTACTGCACCTAACACGCTCACACACCTTGTCCAGTATCAGAGAATTGGACCAAAGCCTAAGGTTCCTGGTCACCCCACCTCCCACTCCCTCCACTCGTACACTCCCCTTAGCCGGCATCGCCATTCAGCCTCTGGACCAAGGCCGATCCCGAAGAATGGAATTGGGCAGCC